AACACGAGGACCGGTTGCTAAATCTAAATCTAATCGAGACTAAATCAAAGCAAGCAAGTAGAAGTGATGGTGGAAGTATATGGAAAGAATAGAAAATAAGGAAGCAAAGCAATAAGAATGTGTAAACTAGCAATCTAAGATGACCGTGGGTGTCGGGACCGTATTTGCGTGTATGGGTATATGCTAAGCATGCGAGAATCACGATATTGAATTTGTATTCGGGAATCGTCAAGTAATAAAGATAGAGAAATCACCTCCCGGCATATAACTCACTATCTAAAGTTCTCTAAATCCATATCCCTATGTGATTTATCAAACTAGATGCATGAAGAACACCATCATCAATCTTAGATCGATCAAACCATATTCCTATGTGAATAATACGATCTATTCTATCGATTTTGATCTGAAACTAAACCCATATTCCTATGTAGTTCATAATCTGAAATAATTGGCCAAGGGGTCAGCAAACACCAATCGAATAAAGCACAAATCGATAAAACCGAAACAAATCCAAATCGCAACCAAGTTAGGGTTCAAACATACCCAAAACACAAACGAATCCCTAACCCACAGCCGTGGATGTACTCACGGTTCATGGAAAAACACTGAGCAAAACTAGAAACAGAAAGAAAAGAGGGAGAAGAGAGACTCATGTCGACAGCAAGCGATCTTCACGTTCCAACTCTCCTTCTTCTTCCCGGAATCCCGTAAAACTCTTATTTCTCTCACCAAAGCTCTCCAAAGTCTGTATAAAGTCTGTCTCAAGGTTGTATGCTCCTCTTGGACGTCTGAAGGCATGTTTTATAGACCCTAGGCGGCGCTCCCAAAGTCCTTCTCCCACCAGAATTAGGAAAACTCGAATTAGGTCTTTTTCCGGGTTTTGACTCGGACCGAGTCAAGTTCTGACTCGGCCGAGTCAAGTCGAACTTTTGATCTTCACGATTTCGCTCATAACTTTCTGCTCCGGTGTCGGATTTACGCGATTTTGGTGTCTACGCGAAGCTCTTGAAGTCCTTTTTCCAATGGTAGAAGTTTCGTGCGATTTGGACTTCTGTGGAGAAAGTTATCGACGTTGCAACATGAGTACCTCATCCGGACATCTCCTTTAACGCTCCAAATAGTTCCTTTTCGGTTCCAATCACCTCCGAAACCTGTAACTCTGCAAAACTAGAGCACAACCGGGTTTTGTGTCCTAATACGCCTAGAATTCCTATAAATGCACATGATCCTCGTCTAAATCCTATAGAAACGTCCAGGAAATATAGAGAGAATTAGGAGTTATCAGGCACCACCAATCATACACCATCACGTTGATTGTTTTCAGACACGATATGATATATCTATAATACGTTCATGGGACTATATACACAGTGATTTGAGATCCATCAAAATATCTTTGTCCGAAATGCAATTTGGATAGTTCAACCAGTAAAAGGAGGATGCAAAACATCTGTTTCGTCCCGAGTTCGAACCTCAAGTTAGGAAGAGAACGTATAATACAAATCACATGACTGGTTCCTATTCCCTAGATTAGTCTGGGCTTTAACCCAGAATGCCGGATTATAAAAAAAAAACGGAAAAAGTGGAAATATTTTTCTGTTTTAGTTCAACTCTTGAGTTATCGAGAAGTATGACGCAAAAGAAAAAATGAGACGATACTAGTTCTATGGTTTTAATCCGATCTAGACAATGTCTCAATACTATGTAAAACTAATAAATATTGCTCTCTTTTCCGATGTGGGACTCATAAAAGCTCTCCTCTTATCCACCTCTCAAACAGAACAGATGATTCTTTTGGTTTATAATCTGCAGTGTGAGCTCCTCCCTGTAGAAACTCTCAAGAACATTACATATTGTGCATCAAACCAAATAAAAGGAATCAGAAAAAAAAAAGTTTTTGGAGAAAGAGAGACTTGCTTTGATCGTGGCAAATGTCATCTTATTCGCGTACGTTCTCGTATATCTATTTTTCACAATACAATCGATGTAAAAAAGAACATAAATCTCAGATATATGATCGAAACCCGAGTTAATTTATTGATAAAAACGAAAGAATGGAGTGAAAAGATTCTTGTCTTCTTACCCGGCAATCTGGTTATCTATCAACCACGGTCGCCAGTCGTTGATAATGGAATAGTTCAAAGCTCTTATCCATGCTTGCGTCCCAAGAAAAGGCACCACATAATCATGATCACCACTGTTCCAAAACTCATATAACACTTGCGTTTGTTTCTTGAGAAAGAAGCAATCTCAGAAAAGGAATGATACAGAGAGAGAATACCTGTAGATCAGCGACCGAAAGCCTTTAGCACTGTTGATGGCGTGATACTGGAAACTCGAAGGTATGTCTTTCGAGTACGGTACCTTATCTGTGTTGCACCGAGACCACAGCCCTATACTTGCCTGAATTGCAGATCAATGTTCATGTTAATCAATCACTAAACTCGTTTATGAATCGATAAGCAAAGATCTTTAAATGGAATTTACCTTTCTGACATGTAAGGCTCTTCGGACATTTTCATCGTTTGCCCAAAAGGATGACAGGAGAAATTTGTAAAGCTGAGCATAAACCACATCGGGAGAGAGCAAGTAATTTCAGCAGTTAGAGGTGTCAATTGGTCCAACCCATTTGGATCAAAAGAATTGGGTCGATCCATTAAATCCGTATAAACCCATTTAACCCATTTACATACTATTCATACACGTGTATAGTTATAAATACGTACACACAAATAAACTAGATAGACGTTTTCGGTATTCGACTCTATAAAAATATATACCATTTAACCTATGGATTTAATGGAACAAAACTCATTTAACCCATTTAAAACAGTTAAGCAAATGAGTTAAGTCGTTTGGGTTTATAATTGGATCAGACTCAGCCGAGCCGCTTAACCCGACCCATTTTGACATCTCTAGTTTCAGTTACATTTGGTTTTTGATTTGGATACTAATCGAAAACCGACCTTTGAATATATGTAATTCACCGAGAGATTCAGTATCATATATAGTTAACTTCAAAAATGGAGAAGAATAGGTGGAGAGGAAAAATTACATAGCAGCCAAACCATGGTAATGACAGTGTAGGGTTCAGAGTTTCTCCGAGGATCCTTCCTCCACTGAATTTGATGATATGTTGCCTCGTTGAATCTGATCCACAATCCGGTAATAATATATGCAACGTATTTAACCCCGACACCGACTGATAAAAGTGAAGAGAAACGTTAGATGACTCATCGAAACATGAAACAATCCGCATCGGAGAATCTAACTTAACCTTTGTTGTTAGATGGTTCAAGATCTAAGCATGGTAGCGGGTGAAGACATTTTGAAGTGAAGAGGAGCTGGAATTTTCTGGAATAGACAGGTGTTGAAGAGCAGTTGAGAGTGGTTATGCATTGTACAAGTGTCAAAGAACAGGTAAGAGTGGTTATGAATTGTACATGTGGGGTTGTTGTGTTTCAGATTTTTTGAAACTCCTGCACTAACCTTTTAGATTTTTGATGTTGTATTTAAGTGGTTCTACATCTTGATTTTTTTGGATATATGGAAAAGGAGAAGTTCCAGATTTGATCCTCTGTTCTTGTTCTAAGAATAGAGTGTTGGTGTTTAGGTTTCTGTTAATGTTCAAGCTAAGAGGGTTTTGAAAACACTCTCCAAAGAACTTTGACAGAGCTTCAACCTTTTCATAAGCTCGAAGATCTTTCGAGCATTGTGAGTTGTCGGGATCAACATTAAAGTATTCCCCTCCACAGTTTCTCTCGAGTGACTGACACTTAAAAAACCAAAATGAATAATGCCAGAAACTTCTGGAAACGAGGAGGAAGACAATGGAAAGATTGGATATACCTTGTACAGCTCGTCGGAAATAAGCCCCATTCCGTGAGCAAACGGAATACGAGAATTTGTATCAGAATTTTCGTCTGTTGCGGGGTTTCCAAGAACGTATCCCTATCAGCGTTTAGACAACGATCTTCTGCCGTCATTGGCAATACATATAGGGATAAGAAGATATGTATATACACACAAACCTGAAGATTTATAGGAGGAGTGACACCATTTTCGTTTCCTACATTGTGAATTGAAGTTGAAGGAAACATCAGATGAAGGGCATTGATCAGAAAAGCTCAAAACATAGAAGAAAAAAGAAAAGCGACACGGCTTGATACCGATGTGGATATGATGAACGAGAGCAGGTACGATAATTCCAGAGTATGAATCTCCCCCGACGTAAAAGGGATTTGAGAGGAATTCAGGATGATCCATCAACCACTATAAAGACATGAAAAAGACGATTCTTTCATCGAAACCAAGAGGTCGGTGGAAGGAATTACATATTTATTATTACCTTCCTAAGGAATTGATCAACCTGATGAACTTGTATGGTATCCCCAGCTCGAGAAGAAGACGGTTTCCTCGCGTATGAAAAACCAGAACCCACAGGGGAATCCACAAATATTATGCTCGCGGCCTGGAAAAAGCGATCATCAAATTCATAACCCACGAGGAGTTTATAAGCAAAGAACACAATGACCATAAAAAATCTTCAAGAACTGAAATCTGTGAAATTACAAAAAAAAGAAAGAAAAGAAAAAGTTTACCACCTTTGTCCAAGAATACGAAGTCGAAACCAAAGTGGGTAAACTCCCATTGTACTCTTCAACTCTGAAAGTAAGAGGACCTGTGGACTTAAACCTTAAATAGAAACCCAGTTCCAGAAAGCTCAGACAAGAACTTCGGATCAGAAGGATGGTTTCAGTTCTTGACAGTACCGATTTCATAAAAGAGGGCAGAAGCAGAACTGCAAACTGGTCCACCGGTCAACCATATCATAAGAGGATCCTCCTTCGGATTTGTCTGAGACTTGACAAAGTAATAGAAGAGCTGTGCATCGTCGAACTCGCCCACGCCGACATAACTTTGTCATCCAGTCACACAAAAAAAAAAGATGACTTGGTTTCTTCATCAGAATTTTAACAGTTTGATAGTGGAATATATATAGGGTACCCAGTTTCGAGCTCAAAGGGAAGAGGACCCTCAAATCCTGGAAGGAATTTGATCGAAGAACGAGAAACTGCGAAGAGGATCGTGTAATGATACGCCAAAAGGACAACATGCGACTTTGCCATTCTTGTCCTCCTCCTTCAGACCTGGTTCTGTAAGTCAACTACTCGGAAACATATGTATATAAATAGTAATAAACAAGATGAAAGATGAAAAGCGTGGTAAAGTAAAATAAGGCGGAAATAGATATAGATCATCGAGTGAAATATATATATAAGTGATGATTCGGAAATAATAATATAAGAATTTATTTAATCTAAATGGAAGAGGTACATAGAACGAGCCAAGAATCCTACCACGTGGATATTATTAAATGGCTAATCTATGGATTACTAAAAAACTTTTACAAGAATCTGAATTCAGATTTGTTACACTAAGAAAACAACATAATCTAATTCCTACCCTTTGAGATTTTGGTTCTGTATTTGGCCGGTTTGGTTCATAAACGGTTTATTTGGTTTAATAAAATTTGTATTAAATTAGTAGTCTATGTTATTCGGTTGAATGCTGCAGAATATGGAGCGTAGGAAAACTTCTTCAGGGAAGTAGAGAACAGACACACGAGGAAATCTGAATGATCAGAATCAGAAAAAAAAAATAGATCAGAATTTATTAGGGATGTAAAACGAGCCGCGGATCGCGAGTTGGCTCACAAGACGACCTATATTTTTTCGAGCCGTGCTCAAAATATTTGAGCTAAAAAAAATCGGGCTAAACGAGCCAACCCGTCACGAGCCGGGTTTGTGTTGAACCAGCTCGTCACGAGTCGGACTGACTCGCGGACTAGAAATTTTTTTAAAAAAATGTTAAATATTTTATATATTTTAAAATATTTTTATATACAAATTATATTTTTATTACGTATTTAGTTTGTTTTTTATTAAACTTTTATTTGACTCGCAAACCGTCTTGTTTGGTTCGCGTAGCTCACGGGTTAAAGACATATGGAGTGGGTTGATATATTTTTGGCTCGCTAAAAAACGAGTTGGATTAGATTAAAATTTTTTCAGATCGAAACAGAGTTGGGCTGGGTTAGGAAATCCTTCGAAATCCTTGGAAATCCTTGAAAATTTTTTCAGATCGCCAGTATTAGATCCCTAGAATTTATCAACAGAAATCCTTGGAAATCTCCGTTGATACCATGAAGTTTTCTGAATTTGGGATCAAAACATATTGAAAAACACAATCTGTTAATGCTAGGAATTCCTTATTCCTCAGATCTGTTTTGAATACAACGTAGTGTGATTCAATATACGCACACGATATTATTTACAATATGAAAAAAGGGAACCTGTATAATCTGTTTGAGCTGTTCGATTACCAGAGCAAGTTTTCAGCCACACCAGATGATCCGAGAACCATTGAGAGCGTCGGAAGTGATCAACCAGCAAACCGGAGAAGGCGCACGGCCGTATCACAGCTGACCAGGGACATCGAAGAAACAGATGATGTCGTGTTTCAGCGGCGGAGTCGCATAGCGGGCGTGAAGCAGATGCATTTAGCCCACACGAGAAAAGGTGATCTCTCGTGGGTAATCTGTTCCTCGCTGCGAGTCAAGTCAAGAAGGAGTGCTTCGGGACCGAGTGAGTGAACCAAATAACCTTGTGCCAAGGGACCCGAGGGGGCAAAGTCTGGTGGTAAAGAGGAATTCGAGTGGACCTCCGACCAGTAGTAGGAGTCCCCTCTGGATGCAACACTCGCCAATGGGCATGACAACAGCTCACTGGTGGACAGATTCCATAGCAGAGGAGAGAGTTCGATTTTACAGCAATTTGCAGTAAAAGCAAAATTTTATTCTTATTTTTTGTCACAAAAGGGTTTTGGATGAGATTCTTCCGACCAAACACACTTGACTTCCAGTGGAACTGAAGTCTCTGATGAACTGAAAACCAAAAAGACAACAGTTTTAGGGTCGAGATTCTCACAAGAATTCTCCATCAATCCATCTCTTGAACATAACGCCGCATTCATCAGGCCTGTAATCCGCTGTATGCCCTCCTCCCTGCAACCCGAAAAAAACCCGTTACCGTTACCAAAAAAACGATAAAACAATCAATCTATCGATGGAGGAGAGGGGAATGTAGTCTTGCTTTGATGGTGGCAAACGTCATCTTGTTCGAGTAAGTCCTCGTATACCTGTCGAATACGATCAGTGAGTCTCGAAACCGATATAAAAAACTGGATTTGGAGTTATATATGATACCCTGCGATCTGATCATTGATCATCCAAGGCCTCCAACGATCAACAATGGGAAAGTTCAGATCTCTTATCCATGCTTCCGTCGCCATGAACGGTACCATGAGATCATGATCACCACTGTTCCAATAACGAAGTGAATACAAATATGAGGACGGTGATGATGACGACGATGATGATGAGAGATCTTACCTGTAGATCAGAGACCGGAAGCCTTGACGACTGTTGTTCAGATGGTACGGGACGGAGCTGGCAACGTCGTACGTATACGGAATGTTCACGGTATTGCAACGCTTCCATTTTCCGATACCCTAAACCCGGGAAAAATCGTTAAGGTGCAAAAGAATTGAATTTTAACGTATGTATCGATATTTTCTTTACGATACAATGTCCTGTACCTTCTTCACATGAAGTGCTCTCCGTACGTTTTCGTCGTTTGCCCAGAATGCGGACAGGAAATATCGGTAGGTCTAAGCATAGACACCGCAATGTTCGAGTGAGAAACCAAAAACTCTTACCTCGAATTCAATAGAAAACGAGATTGACTAAAAAAAGCATTACGTACAAAGCAGCTCGGGGGTGGGAGGGACGACTCGTTGGCCCGAGACTCCTTCAATTCTCTTCTTCCGTCGGGTCGGGTCGGCATGACATAATCTACTTCACAATTTGGTAATAAAATTTGCTCCGTGTATATATCCGAAACACACTGATCAAAACAGGGGGTAAAAATCGACAGAGAAGTTAGTTCGTGGAACCTCATGAGTGGTTTCATGACATAATTTAGGATGGTCGACTCGGATACTAGTAAATGAAATTGTTACCAATATACATTCATGTACAACGAACGTCAAAAACAAAAGCCGAGTGGTCATGAGGAATTTCTACCGTGTCATAAGCTCGTAGACCATTCAAGCATTCCGCATTGCTCGGGTGCATGTTGAAGTAGTCGTTTCCGCAACTTCTTTGAAGCGACTACAGGAAAAAAACGTGATGGAAAAACGAGCCCGATGAAAGCATGTAGTTCACTGAATTCCGCAAGATTTAGTACCTCGTAGAGTTCGTCGGAAATAAGTCCCATCCCGTGAGCAAACGGGATTCGGTGATTATAATCAAAATTATCATCTGTCAGCGGGTTTCCGAGCAGATAACCCTGGCAAAGAGAAACCTCATCAGAAAGATTTTGTTCGAATCGATGAGTAAATTCTTATATGAGATATAGAATAACAAACTTGGCTATACAGACCTGGAGATTTATGAGAGGTGTAATGCCTTTTCCATTTCCTGTTTTCATGATTCAATACAAGATTAAGATCAACGAAAAAAACGAGACAAAGATACCGAAATGGCGAAAAATAAATGAATGAAAGATGGTAAAATACCGCGCGAAATCTGTTGAACAACTCCTGGAACGACCTTACCAGAGTACGAATCTCCGCCGACGTAAAACGGATTCGAGACGAATTCCAGGTGATCCGTCAGCCACTGCAAAATTCTCGGACAACGACACTAAAAATGACGCCAAAGCTTAACGGATCATCAAAAACGTTAATTAGACGATATCTACACCACAACCTTCCTAAGAAATTGGTCGATTTGGCGCATTTGTTTCGTGTCGCTCGACTCAAATGCCCGCGTAGTTCTCGCGTAGGAATACCCCGAGCCGGCGGGCGAGTCCAAATATATTATGCTCGCGACCTGAGATTCGGTCACCGGTACGTTTATGGGGAATTATGAAGGGTTAGCGTATTATATATTGGACCGTACATATAAATCAATGAATCAATCAATATGGTATGTAACCTTAGTCCATGAAAAGGAGGTTTTCACCAATGTGGGCACACTCCCATTGTACTCTTCACCCTTGAAAGCTAGAGGACCTAATTAAACCAACTTAAGAGTGATTAGAATCACTAATCAAACTCCTAATCACTTGTGATTAAGCAAAGAAACACGCATAGATCCATCTTGCTTTTCCACTAGTCACCCAAAATTAGTGATTCGTCGAGTTTCTGAACCTGAAAACCCTAATCAAGACATTAAAAGATGTCGCTTTTATGCAACATCGTACCATTTTCGAAGAGCATGCCACAGATGGAGCTGCAGGCTGGCCCACCGGTTAACCAAATCATGAGAGGATCGTCTTGTGGGTTCCTCTCGGATTTGATAAAGTAGTAGAAGAGCTGAACATCATCAGATTCGCCAACACCCACGTACCTGAATCGATCGATGGAACACGTAATTAGCACGTTAATCACGTGCTGATTAAGTAAAGAAACGGCTTAATCACCACCACCATCATCGTCATCGTTACCCGGTCTCGAGCTCGAAAGGAAGAGGGCCATCGAAGCCAGGGAGATGCTTCACGACAGAACCGGAAACAACAAGAACATGAAATAAGATCACGAACAGACAGCAACGCCACTGTCTTCCCATTTCTCCTGTCGCTTCAAAGAGAGAGAAACCGAGGAGATGCTTATTAATATTACTATTATGAATAAACGAAATAAAAATAGAAAGAAACTTTGAAAATCGGAAGTGATTTTGACTGACACGTGAAGTCCGGTAAAGGACTTTTCCATCATAATGATCTCGTCCACGTGTATTCGTCGAGCTCTCCCATTCTGGCTCGCACTCGGACCGTTGGATATTTGGATTTTCAATTAAAATATCAATATATTTAGGAAGTATAATTTAAACTTATAAATATATATATTTTTATTAAATAAATAATTTATATCATTTTTTATTAAATTGATATCAATAAATAATAGGATAAAAAAAACCTGCATCACCGAGTTAGGTTAGACTAATAAATAAGTTCTAGAATTCAACCAATTATTATTTAGTTATTATGCATCTTTACAAAAGAAATTAAAAATTAGAGAATACAATTAATTCATATTTAACAACATATAATTAGAGAATACAATAAATTTTATTTTAAATAATCATATTTTATTAAATTGTTTTTATAATTTAATCTTAAATTATTCATTTTTATCCTAATTTCTTTATAATTACGTTCTCAGTTTATCTATACTATTACTATTTTATAAATAAATAAATATCATTTAAAATAAAAGTAATTTTTATTAAAAGTAATTATATTTTATTTTATCATTTTGAATTATTCATTTCATTATAAAAGTTTTCATTTAATTCTGTAAAAACAATTATAACAGATCAAAATTTAAAAACGCCACCGAGGGCCACGGCCCGCCTAAGAAAATGATATGATTTCACTAAATTTTTTTATTTATATATAAGATTTAAAGAGTCTATAAACTATAGTATTTGGAAATTTAGTACGAGAGACAAATTTATAAAATTAATGTGATTAAAAACAAAAAAATCAATAAGATTTATGGGGTGGTAAAGTCCGGTGAATAAACATTTTGTAGAGATAAAGAGTTTTTCTTTTCGAATTTGGAATTTGAAGTACAGAGTACTTAAATATTAGAATATTGAGTTAAATTTAATTATTTGATGGACTGATGTAGCTTGCGTCTATATTTCCATAATCAAGTAAATAAAATTGAATAATATATAATAAGATAATATAGTATATAAAAATAAAATAAAGTCCAAAACTGACTGAGTAAAATTTTAACCCAATAAAAAATAATATAAAATAAAATTAAACATAGTTTTTTTTTTAAAAGTAGAGTAAAAGCTATTAATTTGACATAATACCAAAAAAAAAAAAAGGTTGTTCAGAACACGATCGTATAAACTTCCGAATTGATAGTATGATTTGATTTAACGATTTAGTTTCTTTAAGTTGAACTAATGAAAATATTCTATAATATTTTGTGTAACAATTTAACTTTTATCATGTAAAAAAACACTAATGAAAATATTCTATGATATTTTCTGCAACTAATTGACTTTATCATGCAAAACATACCAAACTACTTTACTTAACAAAAAAAAATACCATTAGAAGATGAAAAGTAGCAAACTTTCATATTATTTCATCTCAGTATCTATTTTGTCACTTATCACCGTTTTGTTGTTTTTTTTCTCCAAGGGATAAGGCACAAATCTCGAGGTGAGGTTAAAATAATAGCTTTTGAAATTCTCTCATTTATTTAGCTTACGTGACTAAAAATATGATAGTAATAAATAGGAGTGTCAAAAGGATATGTCCGATCCGATCCCATATAGATCTAGTTTATATTTTGTTCGAAAGTTTTGGAGCAGAGTTTGGCTCCGTCCGAATTTTTTCGGACCTACACAATTAAGTTTGAAATTCGATCTTATAAGATTCGAGTTCGGATTTAAATTGGATCGAGTTATACCAACCACTTTAAATCTTTTTTAAAATATTTTTTATTTTTTTAAAAAAATTAATAGTGTTTTGTCCAAAACTCTATTTGAATCCAATCCGAAAATTTGATTTTTTTTACGCTGGTAAAATTATATCTGAAGTCCGATGTATTTCGGTAGATTCAAAGGAAATTTCGAAATTCAGGTATAAGATATAAATTAATATCCCTAATATTAAATGTGCAAATGCAGTATTTTTTTTAGAGATATAAAAATTCTATTTTTTTAATTTTGAAATATATTTTTAATGAGAACTTATCTAAAAACTATTTTTAATTTACTCTATAATATCTAGTAATATAATATATTCTTCTCTTGTTATCGACTATGAAAAAATTAATTAATTATATTTATTGATCATAATTATCTATCATTTTTCAATCTTATTTTTTTTATAATTTGAAAATTCACCGGATATTTGATCGGACTACATCTTCTATAAAATTGGGGAAATTCATGTGAATGTCTTCTCCAAATGAAGATTCGAACCCGGATTGGGAAGAAGTTTCACTCCCTTTCTTATTTATTGTTCTCTTACATCTTTAAAACTCATAAATTTTTTAAAAGATAAGTTCATAATATTTTATAAAAGTACTCATTATCATAACCCTTCTTTCAACGTGTTCGTTAAAATCTTTCACCTTTTTCGTTTGTTTTTTTTTCTTCATTTTTTGGATTTTTCTTTTAATATTCAATTTTTTGTATTTTTTGTCGGTTTATAATCCCTTAGCTGCTCTCGCTCACATTTGGTTTGGATTTTCATCGGTCCTATTACACCCATAACTCGTATCATGTTATACGAGTTGCACATATGTACAACAAAACATATATAAAATTTCGAATGTACAAGAACTTAAATTCACAATTCATCCAAATAATACAGCAAAAATACATAATATATATATAAGTAACAATCAGTGAAAAGAAAAGCGTGGGAAAATCTTTCATTTATATTCGTATATATAATCGAAATCCACGTACATGCATATACATCAGGTGGTAGACACAAGGCCATACTGAAACCGAAAATACACAACAACCAAAATATCTACCACTAATATCCAAAAAAGAATCGTTCAAAAAAAATCATGGTCGAAAGATCCATCTTGATATCCCAACGTATAAGAATGTAATGTCGATCAGTCAACACTATACATAATCCCAAAAAGTATGAATTGGTCGTTTTGTCTGGTCCCAATCCACTAATGTCACTCTTTTCCTAAAATATTGCGTAACAACATCTTAACGTATATATACTTAGAGAGTGATTTAGGTTCAACCCATAAATTTCATTCTCAGTGAAATATGTAATTCAACATAAAAAGTAAACAGATACTAAATTCAAGCATCACAATCATCACATATCAAGAATATCAATCACGACCACAATTAAGTTTGTGTCATACATCATAGGTCAGAACCCATCAAATCATCTCTATTTGCATCCCACATATAGATCATTACACATGAGAATCATCAATCTCACAATATTGCACATATAAACCAATCTATGTGAGTCAATAGTCAAAGACCATATAATTTATCGATCAAGGTATTCCACGTACAATGATGGATGTTTGCAATTCAACTATGTCGCATATGAGGATCAAATGTGATCAACATATAACTCCCTCACCGGTAACCAATATCACATCTCTCGATAATGGAATCACACGCGGACCTTATCTGCTCCAGACATTAACTCATGACTTGATCGATCATCGGACATAGTCAATCACTGAAACTCTTCCTTGCCAACCATCTACCGCAGAGACACTTATTAGATTCCAGCTCAGTCTTTAGTAGTGAAACCGTATCACGCCATCGGAAGAATCATTCAATCACGAATATCCGGATATATGCCTACACAACCATTTCAAGGCTAGTGAAATGTTAGTATGGTCGTCAAATAATTGATAACGCAAATCTAGGTATAGAAATAATGCTCAAGTGATAAAAACCTAGATACAACGAATACCGCAAGGATACGGATCAACTGTAGTACCAGGGTCGAGCATAGGGAATAGTTAACTCTAGGAACAAGACTCAACAAAGAATTAGATCAGGAAATATGGAAAGAAGTATGTGAATATCGAAAATAAAACAATAAACTAACTAAGTAAAATCATATAGATAAATCACCGTAGCTTCGGGATAACCTTAACGTGCAGGGATTGTTTCTAAGGATGGAGAATCTACGAATATCGAACTCTAATCGGGGATCTCAAGTTCTAATATCAGATTTGGCTCTCTCAAGTCTTAAATCCACTATCCAATAATATAACTTATCGATCTCTCAACCTAATAGATTAAATATCAAATGCATTAACGATCACTATCACAGTTCTTAAACCGATTAACCTATCTTTCAATAGTCTTAATCAATTAATTCAATGAATTCTTTCCGAATCTAATTCAAACTCTCGTTGTCAATCAGAAACTAAGATCAATCAATCAACAGGCCAAGAAGATCAAAAGCAATAAACTCAATTCAATTAAACCGCCGAGTATCGATAACGTAGTCTCGGAAAATAAAAACCAAACAAATCCCTACAAGGTTAAATCCCTATCTACAGTGAAACGACTACTCACTACCCATAACAACAAACGAGTTCAAATCAATAAGAAGAAACATAGAAACAGGTAAAGAAGACTCGCAACGATCTCTCGACGACGATTCTTCAATCTCTGCTCACGGAAAACTCCGTCTTGATTCTCTCTCGAGTTCTCTGGCTTTTGCTGTGATCTCTCGATGATTTCTGAAGCCCAAGACGTCCTCTATTTATTTGCTTGGCTGTTAGGCTTCTTCCTTTGCTGAAAACGGAAGTTCGGATGCAAAATATGAAGTTTTCCCGTAATGCAACATGGTCGTGTCGAATGCTTCAACTCGAACATACTTGACAGATTTGCTCATAACTTTCTGCTCCAATGTCGGATTTATGCGATCTTGATGTCTATGCGTAGATATTGAAGAGAGCTTTCTAATGAGGTAGAAAACGCACAATTGGACTTGTAGAGTAGACGTTATTGGACTTGCAAGATCTGACTTTTTAGGCTTCGTGTTTTTCCCTGTAACAACTCCAAATGTTCCTGTTTCGTCTGTGATGTTCCGTAGTCCATGTTTTCCACTCCTTTTGCTCTCTTTTATGCATGAATACC